TCTCCTCCTTCCTGCCTCCCTCCCCTCCCCCGCAGCCCACTCCCCATTCCCATCTCCTCCAGGGCAAAGCCTCCCCAAAGGACTAAGATCGACCTGGTAGACTCAGTCCAGGCAGGTCCAGTCCCCTCCTCCCAGATTGAGCCAAGCGTCCCTGCATAATCCCCAGGTTTCAAACAGCCAACTCATGCAATGAGCCCAGGACCTGGTACCACTGCCTAGATGCCTCCCAAACAGTTCAAGCCAATCGACTGTCTCACCTATTCAGAGGGCCTGATCCAGTTGGGGGCCCCTCAGCCTTTGGTTCATATTTCATGTGTTTCCATTCGTTTGGCTCTTGGTCCCTGTGCTTTATCCAACCTTGGTTTCAACAATTCTCGCTCATATAAACCCTCCTCTTTCTCGCTAATTAGACTCCCGGCACTCCAACCGGGGCCTAGCTGTGGATGTCTGCATACAGCTTCCTCAGTCCTTGGACACCACATACTTTTGATTCTGTATTTTAAATCTAAGATTATCAATGTGAAAATTCCATTTCTATTTATAACTATTTCTTTTTATTTTTTATTGAAAATATAGATTCTTCTCTCATACAATACATATCCCAAACACAGTTTTCCCTTCCCCATTCCTCCAAGTTCCCACCACCTCCCCTCTTCCCTCAGATTCACTCCCCCATAACTACTTTATTTAACTATATTAAAGAAAGATGGACTCATAATTAAAATATGTTCTGCTTTCATAAATGGTACCCAAATGGCCGAAAGAAGTAATGAAGATTTTCAATGCATATAAGGAATCTACCTTTCACAATAAGTCCTCATTTTGTGGAAAGGAACTTGAAAAAGCTTTAATCACTCACAGACACATATACATATGCCCTAAAATTGCACATGCTGGGAAATGACAGAAAAATAGATTTTTGATGTTTGAAGAAAGATTGTGAGTCATATCATTTTTCCACTTTTAAGAAGATACTAGAGAGTGACTGAAATAGCACATTAGAAATCATAAAACAGATATATCTGGATTCAGTTCTTGTGATGATGTGGGGAAAGGAAGCCAGTTACTATTTTACTTATGGTTATAAGAACAAAATAATAGTAGGAACCAACAACGTGCAGTGAAATGCCAAGAGAATTCTACAAAAGACTTAAAGTTCACAATCCCATATCTGTAACAATGCATAGTGTTCTCAGTGTGTAGTCCAGCCCATGGGATAGCACCATTGCATGAAGGACCCTGCTTGCGAAGGACAAAAGTTAGCTACAGCTCAATTTACAAAGACCAGGTGACCACTCAAAATTAAATGCTTGAAGAGCCACCAGATTCTTCCCACATATATTTTATTTCCTTTTAATAGGACTGAAACTCCTGCTCTAGTAGAAGCAGTTAAATTGTGAGTTTCCCATACTAAAAATTTAATTCTGAAATCCTATGTCCCAACCAACCTTCTCCCAGACTTTAGAAAGGTATTTTTATTCATTTCCCTCAGCCTACTCCATAAACTTGATAGCTTTTACTATTTTTTTGTTTATTGTAATCAACATTTAAAGTTACTCATTTCTTTATTGCTTCAAATAAAGTGGAAAAATGTTCAATTCTTCATCTCTGTCCAGCTCTCCTCACACAAACATCTTCACAATCAAACATCTTCCCTCCTCCATACACAGTGACTCTGTTTCCTCCATCATTCACTTCCCATGTATTTACCTTAGCAAAAACTACCGAAGCTATTCCTTCCTTAACTTCTTCTGGATAAATCTGTGATAAATATGCATGTGTCTACAACATCTATGATGTTAGTTATATCAAAGATTTGACACTTTTGTGTACTTTCCACTTGCACAATGAATACAAGATTACCAAAAATGCCCCCTAGTTCCAAATGCAACAATAGATAAACTTTCTTAGGAATTTGTTTCTAAGCACTTAATGTGTGTATTAGCTCATCTCATTCTCATAGCAAACCTACAAATATAGATACTATCATCACCTTTACGCAGGAGGCAAAACTGGGGTACATGGAGGTAAAATAATTTGTCCCAGCTGAAGATATAGCTCAGTTCATGCAGTGATTGCCTAGCATGCATGAAGTCCTGGGTCTGATCCCCAGTACTGCATCATGGCAGTACATCCTTGTAAACCCAGCATTCAAGACATCTGGGCAGGGAAAACAGATGTTCAAAGCCATCCTGGGCTACATAAATCCCCTTTAAAAATACTATAAAGTGAATCTCTTGTCTAAGAAAAAAAAATTGTCTAAAGTAATGGAGTTCATGCATGTAGGGGTCAGTTTTTGACCTTAAGCAATCTCTGTTCAGGGTACAGGAGTGTCCCAATGCAGTATTAGTCACTGAAGTTTCCCTGCCTGACGTCTTTTAGGATAATACTCTCAGTCTTTATACAACTGAGTTCATCACTTCTTCTGAAGCTTACTTCTTTTCCCAAGTTGTCTAAACACTGGTTTATTTCACATTTTTGTTGTCATCTCTGACCCTAACCTCCTGTTGACTGTCATGAGTCAAGATGAGTAATGAGACTTTCCACTGAATGTAAGCACTGTAAACTTCGGACTTTTCTTTTTCTGTTGCTCCTTGTTCCATATGTAATGTAGCCCATGGAGACCATGACTGGAAAAAGTACAGAGACAACTAACCAAACTAGTGGAAACTCGTGAACTGTGTGGACCAATAGCTGAGAAGCCCCCATGATACTGGACTAGGTCCTCTGGATAAGCGAGACAGTTGTTTTGCTTGAACTGTATAGGGGGCTCCCCAGGCAGTGGGATCAGGACCTATCCCTAGTGCATGAGCCGGCTTTTTGGAACCTAGTGTCTATGGTGAGACACTTTGTGCAGCCTTGGTGCAGGAAAGGAGGGGCTTGGACCTGCCTCAACTGAATGTACCAGGCTCTGCTGACTCCCCATGGGAAAACTTGCCTTGGAGAAGGTGGGGATGGGAGGGTGGGTTGTGCAGAGAAGGTTGGGGGGTGGGAGGAGGGAGGATAGACAAATCTGTGGTTGGTATGTAAAGTGAATAGAAAAATCTCTTAATAAAAAATTATTTAAAAAAGATAATTCCATTCAGTTACATTGTGCATTAATGTAAAATCTTATCACTGAAACTTCTGAATTATACTTATTTTCAGGCTGTTAGTACAATGTATTTGGAGGAAAGACCTGATTGGAGTACAGCACTTTATCTGTTATTACATTGATATAATTACGTTTTACACTTACCAAAAAAAACAAAAACAAAAAACAAAAACACTAGATCCCACTTAGCAAAATGAAATCAAGGTGAGACATGTGTTTTAAACAAGCCAATAATCCTAGTAAAATAGCATAATCACTAAAAGTCTCCCCATCAAAATAAGCCCAGGATCAGAGAGTCTGAGGGAATCAGTATCTGCCACTCTGACCCCAAACCCACATGGAGAATAGTCATGGATGTTACTAGTTAGTCACCTGACAAAGGATCCTAAGATGAAACAAAAATGTAGGCATCAAAACCAGTTGGTTGATGTATTCTGTATTGAGGGATGAACAGCCCTGGAGTCAGACAAGCAGGAAAGCTAGGCTGGGAATTGCTGAGTTGATTGAATCACTGAGATCTCTTCATGTCTTCTAGGCTTAGTGAGTCTCTCCAGACGTGATGAAGTGGAGAGAGATGATAGATGTGAGGAGCATTTAACAGACCACATTCTAAGGGGAACAGTCTCAAAAACCCTCCTTTCGTAACTGTTCAATGTTTTCTGCACACTTTGGAAACCAGAATTTGGTCTTCCTTTTTAAAAATGGTTTGTTTATTTATTTAAAGTAATTTTTTTTCATTTTACATACCACCCACTGTTCTCACATCTCTCTTTGAAGGCCCAGCAGAGTAAGCATGGAAGTTCAAAGTTTAAAGAGGACAGAACTCACCAGTGGAGGATGAAAATTATGAGGTATTAAGAAGCTGAAACTTGGCAGTAAGCATGACGGAATTGAGCAGCACTTAGGATCTTCTCATAGCACATCATTATGGGAATCTGGAAGAGTGTTTCCAAGGAGGATTATCTGAGTGGGGAGGGGAGAGACCACTAATGAAAGTTGGTGGAGCCGTCCTGAGGACTGTGAGTCTGGATGAATTAAAGGCAGGAAAAAAAGACTGTCACTTTCAAAGGATCCTACCTGGCTCTGCTTCTTACCCACCATATGTGAATTCTTACCCCCTGACCTCCATGTTGTGAACACTGAGACCCCTGACAGGGTAAGGGAAACACCTCTCCTAGATCACGTTAGTGGCAGGAATTAGTGTAAAACCCGTAGAAGAGTAAAGAAAAGCTCTGTAGGATTGTACACAAGCCCTTACTTTACAGAAGATAAACAACAGAAAGCAAAATACACTTTTGGTGGTTATTCTTGATTCTCAACTTAACTAGACATGGAATTAACTAAAATCCTAATATGGAGGGCATAACTCTGAGAAATGTTTTGCTTAAGTTTAAGTATGTAGATACACTTCAAATACAGATTTTGAAAGTAGAAAGAGAGAGAGAGAGAGAGAGAGAGAGAGAGAGAGAGAGAGAAAGAGAAAGAGAAAGAGAAAGAGAAAGAAAGAAAGAAAGAAAGAAAGAAAGAAAGAAAGAAAGAAAGAAAGAAAGAAAGAAAGAAAGAAAGAAAGAAAGAAAGAAAGAAACATCTAATCCAGATCTCAGTGCCTGAAGACACACACCTTTAATCCCGGTCTCGAGGCTGGAAGACCCATCCTAAATTGTCCACACCCTCTGCTGGAAGCCTATAAAAGGACGTGGAAGAAGGAAGCTCTTGCTCTTTGCCTGCTTGCCCTCACCTGGTGGCAAGTCCATTCTTTCCCTAGCATTAGAGAATTTTTCTTCAGAATTCAGCACATACTGAAGACTGAGGGACATATCCAACCTCCTGGACTGAAGTGAAAAGAAAACATTTCCTAGTTCTTCATTTTCGATCCAGTTTAACCTTCAAACTACCCCCAGGAGAAATGTCAGGGGACCAGTCAACCCAGAGATGGGACTACACACAAATCAGCGTCCAGAATTTCTTCTACAGGTGGACCATCAGCAACTTCCATTTCATTCTGGAGGGAATTCAGGAACGCATTAGAAGCCCAACTTTCTCAATAGAAGCCAATGACAAATGGTATTTGGGAGTACACCTGAATGGAGCTGATGAAGAAAGCATAGATTATCTGTCAGTTTATCTAGTGTTGCTCAGCTGTCCAAAGAGTCATGTTTGGGCAAAGTTCCAGTTCTGGATCCTAAGCACCGAAGGAGAGACAACCTACGGTGTGTGGTATCCAAGAGTCTTTAGGTTCATGCCAGGTGTCGAACTGGGATTTAAAAAGTTCATCCTTAGAAATTTCCTCTTGTCCTTTGCGCCTTGGCTTCTCCCAAATGACAGGCTCACCCTCCTCTGCAAAGTAAGCATGGCCCAGGACTCCTTCAGCATCTCTGATCAGAACAGAAAACAAGGGACCCAGGTTCCCAGGTGCACTTTGGCAGATGAGCTAGGAGAGCTGTGGGCAAATTCCCACTTCACAGACTGCTGCCTGGTGGTAGCTGGACAGGAATTCCAGGCTCACAAGGCCATCTTAGCAGCTTGTACTCCAGTTTTCAGAGCCATGTTTGAACATAACATGGAGGAGCACAAAAGGAATCACGTTGAGATCCTTGACCTGGAGCTGCAAGTCTTCAAGGCAGTGATGGACTTCATTTACACCAGAACAGCACCAGACGTGGACAGCATGGCAGCTGCTGTGCTGGCAGCTGCTGACAAGTATGGCCTGGAGCGTTTGAAGGTCACGTGTGAGGATGCCCTCTGCAGAGACCTCTCTGTGGAGAATGCTGCCCACACTTTCTTCCTGGCTGACCTCCACAACGCAGGGCAGCTGAAAACCCAGACACTGGATTTCATTTCAGCTCATGCTTCTGAGATCTCTGAGACCTCAGGCTGGAAGACAATGGTGGCGTCATATCCCCAGTTGGTAGCTGAAGCATACTGTTCCCTGGCTTCTGCTCACTGTCCTTTCCTGGAGGTCCCCTCAAATGCCTAAATAAACCCTAGTACCTGGTCAGCTGTGACCTACATGTGTCTCCCAGAAACAGCAGCCAGTGTTGTTACCAATGAGACCTAGTAGACTATGGGTTCTATGGAGAATTGACAGTGAATCTGGAGAAAGACATCATGGTGGATGAAACTAATACAGCTGTAAAAGGCAAGCTAGGGGAAGGGGAGGTCTGGAACTCTACCCAACCCCTACCCTGTTGCTGTATTGGTTTGATTTTTGTCTAATGAGTTGGAAACTGGGATTCAGTTTAGTTGCCGGCCCCAAGCATGTTACAACAGGGTTTCTTTGGAGAAACCTCTCTGGACTGGACTGAGCAGAACATATGGTCAAGGGCTAAACAAAAGAGAAAACCAGCAAACATGTTGCTTACAAGAGAAGGGGAAGAGAATGAACACTTTTTTTCTCCTAACTCAGTGTGTGGGACAGGAGAGATGACTCAGTTCGCAAAAGCAACGGTTGCTCTTGCAGAGGACCCTTGTTCAGTCCTCTTCTTGTCTCCAAGGGCACATCCATCTCTGTAGACAATGCCTTCCCAAATAAAAAATAAAATGAATAAAAATTTTAAAATAAAAAACAGAAAAGGTCCACAGTGTAGTGAAACTTACTTTAGGAGTTTTCTATCTGAGGGATATTTTCTAGGAATGGAATAAATTCACACATGAACTGTTTGGGTCATGCTCTCTATTCTTTTGCTCTAGCTCTAATTCTCTTTACAGTTCTAATTCTTCCTAAATTCTAATTCTTTCTAAGTTTTAATTCTTTCTAATTCTCTTTTGTTCTACAAACACACACACACACACACACACACACACACACACACAGACACATATACATACATATTGTACAGGAGGCTTTTTTCAGTCATAAGAAGAGATACAAAGCTACCTCTGAAGCTCATAATACAATCCTTGAGTAAACAATAAGGGTAGAGCCATTTATCATGGCAATGCAAGGTTTTAAGTTTCCTGGTATAAGACTGTGACCAGGCCAGTGGCACAGTGCCCAATGAGATAGGGTGCAGAGAGATCTGCACAGGAAGTCAGGTCTTTATCAGTACAATTTAGCAAGTGAAGAATTGGCATAATATCTTAGGTTGCTTTGTGCTGATAACCTTGGTTAGACATCAGCAACCCTGTCCTTGTGCATATCTGTAAAGTTTTAACTTATGATACAATTACAGAGACACTCAGTCCAGTTTGAACTTGCTCTGAGGTAAAAATGAGCTAATTGTGTGTAGTTTGTCTTAGACTGGGGAGAAATGGTTGTTTTCTTATGTTAGTCTGAGTTAAAAAAAGTAAAGCAGGCTTCTAAGTGTCTAACAGTCTTTGTGGAATAACAGATCTAGTTATAAAGCATATTAGAGTATATTCCATTCATCAAAATTATACAGCTTAAGTAGAAATCATCTTCCTGACCATCCACAGCTATTCATGTGCCCAGTAGATAGAATATATTCACTAGATAAACATACAAGCAGTGGGGAGAATACCCATAGCTGTTTTCAGGGAAGAAATATAGTGACATGAGAAAAATTACAGGTAGAAGCAACCAGTCATTTACAGTCAGTGACCCCACGGCCTTACCAAGTGGGGCTCTCCATCAGAGAGTCATTTGTCTGGTGGGTCAACCTGCTGAACACTAGTTGTCACCTGCTGTATACTCCCATATATTGCCTCCAACAATACTGTGAGGACTTTTAGGCACCCAGTAAACGTTGGATAAGGGGTTCTCCTCTGAGTTTGCCTTTTATGTATTTCATTTGCCTTTCAGCTGGCCTTTCCATGCCTCAATCAGACTCCTGCCCCGCAATGCCTTGGCCCATTCTGAGCATTACCTTCAAACAGTCAGGAGCTCCCACTAGGAGCCAGAAGCAGCCTTTTCTGTTTCCCATTTAAGCTCCAGCACATAGCACAAGCCTGCACAGCATCAATGTGTATTTACTGCACAAACTCATAAATGGACCCATGAAAGTCATTGCCAACTTCCTCCATGTTCTGTCTCAAGCCATTTCACTGTTCGCCCAAATCACTGCAAACTCCTAACTGGATGGACTGTGTCCAGTATTGCCCTCCTTCCACCAAGGAGGAAATCAGCCTTATAAAACCAAACTTGACAATGTCTCTGTCCTGTTTAAAACCCTTGAACAGCTCACTAATGGTCTTTGGATAAAATTGCTTCCCTGTTATAATTTACAAAGCCACTTGTAGTCTGGGTCCTATACACCCTAACACCTGGCCTGTTTTCACTGGTTGTCTACTCTCTAACCACCCGCCATATTGCCTGTTACCATGAACAAATTATGGCCTCTCTCATCAGAGTATGTGTGCTCCCTTCAGACTGGAATACTGATTTTTCTTCTGTGCCTTTCTCTTGAATAAGACATTGTTCCTTCCAGGAAGCCATGCCTGAATCAGTCAGGTGTGCATCAGGTATACAACCTGTATTTTTCCACTGCCACAGAAATTATCACCACATAGCAATCAGTCAGGTGTGCATCAGGTATACAACCTGTATTTTTCCACTGCCACAGAAATTATCACCACATAGCATTTTAGTTGTCAATTTACTTTATTCTCTTCCATTCTAGGATTTAATATTTATGCAGATTACTTATACCTAGTTCACTGATGACATCCATGAAACCTACAATGCCCAACACTTAGTAAGTTAAGTCCTTGTAATATACAGGTGGTATGAATAATATACTCTAACTTTTTCATGTCTTTTCATAACAGTTTATCAAAGTAGTTCATTTTTTATGTTGAATAGCACAAGAACCTGAACCTGAAACATGGACAATATAACTTGAGGAGACTGTTAGAGTACAAACAAAATGTTCTAGGTTGAAATTAGAGTGAATTATGTATAATTGAGGAAGAGAAGCTTAGGGAGTCTATGGTCATGAGACATGAACCCAGTATTCACAGCAGAACAAGGGACCATGAGAGTTGTTAAGCAGGACGCTTCAGAGGCAGGCCCGGCTATCAGTTCTGAGCGGAAGTCCAACACACAGAGGTCAAAGAAAGGACAGACATAGCTATTAATAGGCATTTGTGGTATGCATGAATAAATAAGTGGGTAGATGAATGAGTGAAGATTTCTTCCAGTTCCCTGGATAACACACACAGCTTCCAGGAGGTTCATGAGACACATAGCAAAGTCTCCTGCAGGAAAAGCAAGCACAGCACTGAAGAAACAAAGCAGGCGATATAATCCAGTGTGGACTGGTTTGTTAATTCTTTTCCTGAATTAAGACCTGATCTCTTAATTTACTAAGTCCTCCTCAAAACAGGTATTATTACAGATGAGAAAATTAAATCTCTGAAGAAAAATGACTTGATAGTGATGACTCCCACCAGGATCCAAATATTTTCCTTCTTGCCTCCCAAGCCCAAGCTCTTGCTTATATAGTCCCCAGCCTCCCAATGTGATCTACATCATGTATCAGAGCTTGCTCTCTGACAGATCCTATGGCTCTTAGAAATAGAATCCTTATAAAGAAAAAGTATTTTGGATAGTGTCAAATAGGAAATAAGAATTGAAGCTGAATTTTAAACCTAGGTCTTATTGTTTTCAAATTTTCTTATCCTCTGTTGCTTATCCTGCTTTGTAAAATTTACCATCATCAGAAGAGAGGTCCAGGAATAGAGCCACATGACCATAACACAGTCCCCCATGTACTGAGGTAGAAAAGAGCTGAAGTCGTGTGTGTGTGTGTGTGTGTGTGTGTGTGTGTGTGTGAGAGAGAGAGAGA